ACTTAGAGTTGGATGTTTTCTTTTAAATAATAATAAACAAATAATAACAGATAATATATATAATGAGTGCTAACTAAGTGGCAGGCACTGTGCTAATAGCTTTGTTTGGAATAAGTGTTTTAATATTCGCAATGACACTTTGATGGAGGAAAATAAAGTGAGGATTAAAGAGGTTAAAACTCTCTGGAGCCAGGAGAGTGTAAGAAACCCTGAGAGCCCAGGTGGGTCCACGGGGTGTTTTCCTGAAGCTGTGTCTGCGGGGTCCCAGCACGTGGACCTGCACACCACCCGCTGTCTCGCTGGACACTCAGGCAGTGAGTGGATTGGGGTGAGGCCATTATCTCTTGGCTGTAAGGAAGGGAAGCCTGGTTGGGGGGGGGGGGATGAAGGCTCCTGAATAGTGTGCAGGACCCCAACTAAGGTCCCTAACTGCCCATCTTATTTAGAAACCTTTAGGCCTTGGTTTTCCTATCTGTCAAGTGAAAGCTTGGGATTCGATGACTGAGAAAAAAACCCCTTTTTGGTCTTACAATTTTATCACTAATAGTCACAAGTGTTTCTAGCTTCGACGTTCAACATGTGGGCTTAGAAATTAGCCTCATGTTCAAATTCTGTCTCTGCAATTAACAAGCTGTGTAATCTTGGGCAGCTTACTCAACATGTCTTCATTTCTAACTCTTTGTATTCTTATGTCATTGAGTGTAAGTGGCATATTTTAATATTTCTGAATTGGGCGTATTTAGACTTGATGGCATCTAACAATTTAGTTGGTAGCACTTTTTTGTTGTTAGGAGTACATACACTGGTGGTGCATCTTGTAATGAATGGCCTTTTAGGTTCAAGGAAATGTGGTAATAAAATACTTCTTATGCAGTTGTGGGAATTAAATGAGATATGCATGTAACTACTAAACACATACTACATTCTCAATAAAGGACAGTCGTCATCATCATCATCACCACCAGCAGCAGCTTTTTTTTCTAGTAAAAGAAACACTGGTTTTATATTTATTGGTTTTATGGCATCTTTTTTTTTTTTTTTTTTAATCCTCACCTGAGGATATTTTTCCATTTTTTGTACAGATAGAGTGGGAGGGAGAGAGAGGAAGGGAGAGAGAGAGAGAGAAACATCGACGTGAAAGGGACACATCGAATGGCTGCCACCTGCACGACCAACCAGGACCGGGGACAAACTGCAACCGAAGTACATGCCCTTAGTGGGAACCGAACCCGGGTCTCTCCGGACCACAGGCCGACGCTCTAACCGCTGAGCCAAACTGGCCAGGGCTATGGCATCTTTTTTTAAAACACATCCTCTTCCTCCAAGACCCTCCTGGTGACAGTGCTGGACCACGTTTCTCCTGCCCTCCTCACTTTTATAGCATTTAGACGAGGCACTAGTCTGCAAAATAACACGAGCTTGGAAACCCTGACTTATGCGTCCCTGAAACACGCAGGAAGGAAAGAGAAACATTTAGTTTCTTGTGTAAGACATGAAGCACGAGGAGCCGTTCATTTCAGAAGGGCCTGGAGCTGGGACAGGGGCTCTGCCCTCACCCATCCGGTGGGCGGTGGCCCTGCACTGTGTTCGAGGGCTGCTGGCTTCCTTGTCTCTTTTCTCCTTCCACTGGCCTTGGACCTGTAGGAAGTTGACTGAAGACAGGGAAAGATACTGAAACTCATCACTATAGAATCGCCTTGGAAGTCCTTTGGATAGACTTGTCCTACTTTAGAAGGTTTCTGTCAATTGGGGAGGAAAAAAGTCTTCAGTTCTTTGGTAATTTCAGGGAATCTCAACTACCACCAGGAAGACTTTAAAATGGAAAGATTTCGGCAATGATCTGATCCCAGAAAGGACTGTTCTGTTTCTTGGTAATTTTTCTGGATTAAAAATTGTAGGTATTTTTGAAGTTATCCATTCAATGAATGGATATTATTCAAGTGCCCACAACACCAGCTGGGAAGGCTACATGTAGGACAGGGACAAAAAAGCATGGTGTCTGAATTAATTAATTAATTAATTAATTAATTATTTTTTAATCCTCACCCGAGGATATTTTTTCATTTTTTTTTGTTCAGTTAGAGTGGGAGGGAGAGAGAGAGAGAGAGAGAGAGAGAAACATTGATGTGAAAGGGACACATGGAGTGGCTGCCACCCACACAACCCAACCAGGGCCGGGGACAAACTGCAACCGAGGTACATGCCCTTAGCGGGAACTGAACCCGGGTCTCTCTGGACCGCAGGCCGACGCTCTAACCGCTGAGCCAAACTGGTCAGGGCAAATAGTGTCTGAATTTAGAAAAAGCTAGTTCAAATCTTACTTGAGAAATTTATTTATCCTCTCTAAATTTCAGCTCCCTCACCTGTAAAAGGGATAAAGATAGAATCAGATCTTCCATATAAAGTCCTTAGCACAGAGCCTTGGCCCATAGGTAGGTTGGCTGGCTGGCTGGCTATCTATCTATCTATCTATCTATCTATCTATCTATCATCTATCTACCTACCTACCTATCCATCCATCCATCCATCCATCCATCCATCCATCCTCTATCTCATTTTGCAAATCTTTGGTATATTTGAAAGAAAATTGTTTTATTTCAAGTTTCAGTACAATTTTTATAATGCTCAGAAAATTGTACAAGTATTTAATCAATAATTGAGCCAAAACATTAGTAGTAGCAAATCTTCAGAGCTGGCTGGGTTCAGAACATGTGATGGTTCTAATGGAAATGTATTTAAAATAATAAATTTATTGCACTTTTCTTTCATAGAGTAGCAGCCTTTTACTTTGAGGTCCCATAATTTAACTGAACATTTGATTTCTAATAATGCCACCAGACAGAAAGCAAAAGTCCACCAAAAAGCCACCTGCAGAGTGCCACAACTCCTCGAAGCACAGCCTAGCGAAGGGCTCCATGGTTGGCCGCATCCCACCCCCAGGTGCACCCGCAGGCCCCACTGTGCGCTGCCACCTCCGCACAGCTGGTTTTGAATCCCCACCCGTGTATTTGTGCTTAGCTCCTTCCGGGGAAATTGAAAGAGAAGAGGGAGGGTAAGAAAAAAGATGAAAAGGGCAGGGAAGAAGTAATTACGATTATGATTGTGATTGAGATTTGTTTTGCTTAGAAGAGGCCTCAGACATGCCAAGCTGCGAACCCGTCTCTGCCTTGACCTTAAACTGTAGGCCTGGTTTTACGCTATTCCTCCTTCTCAGTCCTTTCTCTTCATCAACACCCCTGTGATTGTCCTGGAGTGCACATCACCCAGGCACCCTCTTGCTTAGAGTCTTTAATGGCTCTCTATCACCTTTGGATGTGAGACCTGTGGAATTTTTCATTTGAAAAAATCCCTATGCCTGCAAAAGTTGGCACAGATTCCAGGCTAAGAAACTTTGGATTGTGAAATGCAGCCTGAACTCTGTATTATTAAGGCATATAAAGGCTTTGAGATCTTGCCTCCTGTCCGCATTGCCATCATCAGCACCCAGCATTTCATTCTGTTTGCAACCACAATGATTACAGAGGAGTTTCGACCACGGCCTCTGCCTGGGCTCAGATTCTGGCTCTACCCTTACTCGACTGCGAGTGTGTTATTTAATCTCTCTGCATCTCAGTTTGCTCTTCTCTAACATGGGAATCAGAGGAGTCTCCACCTGCTACCCCAAACCCCTTAGGAGGTGTGTCCGCCTCATAAGGGGTTTTGAAGATTAAATGACTTAATACATATAAAGCACTTTATAGTCACACCTGGTACATCATACACATCGAATAAGCATTAGCTATTTTTATTAACGACATGGTTTTAAGTATTTGCACATATTACTCTATCTAGGATGCCTCTCCACTTTCCAATCCCAGCTCCCTTTCCCTGATTCTAACTTATCTTTCAAGACACGGTTCAATCTTTCCAACCTTGTGAAGATTTCCAAGGCATTCTGACAATGTCCTCTTATGTGTAACTCGACAGTGGGTGCTGCCACATACTTAATCTGTAATTGACACCATGCACCCATTTGCACATGGGCTTCATGTAGTTAACAGCTGTTTGCCTGTTGTTTACATAGTCCTGGCTTTCACCACAGTACCGCCTGGTAGGCTCCCACTAAACACTTGTGGAGTGAGTGAATGAGTGAATGAGTGAATGAATGAATGAATGAATGAATATCTTCCCTCCCAGGGAAAGAAAGGCACATGTGTCTTGAACATAGGTTCCTGAGTCTTCAAATACTTCTTCCCAGCCTGGTGTTTGGCCTGTGCTCAAAAATGCTTTCTGAGTTGATCTGAAACACATTCAACTTCGATGAAATGAAATACGTTTAACTTCAATTAAATGATCATCTTTTGGGAATCCGTTAGACTTCAAAAACAAGAGTTAATACTCTATATTTATTTATTAGAGCTTTCCTCACAATATGCTTGGAAGTTGTTGGACTAAACAAGAAGAACATGTCTGGAGTCAGAGAGTTTCTAAGTGCTGCCTGGTCCCGAAGCTTCCAGCGAAGCCCCGCGTGGCCGCCCGGCCCGCACCCCGCCTCACCACACGGCACACACGGGAACGACACAAACACGACTTCCTCTGTCTTGGCTGATAGACATTCATCAAAGAACACAAACTTCCCAGTAGGGTATAAAACAGAAAAAAGGAAATGAAAAACAAAAAGGAAGATCAGTTTGGTTGCAGTAACTATTTTTTAAAAGCACATGAGGCCAAATCCCTGGAGTCCAGAAACCGAGGATGAACTGAAGTTTCGTAGCAAACCAGAATTCTATTCCTCCAAAGCTTATGCCTTTACGGAAATTCTACTCTATAAAGGGTAACATCTAATAGGCATGAGGGATATTGAGACAGCACAAATTAACTCCTTAAGTATTATTGCAACTCCACACCAGTCTTTGGGAGTACATACATTAAGGAGCTATTAAAAAAAACAAAAACAAAAACAAAAGCTAAATGTAGCTCAACAATCCTGATAGTTTATAATGCATATACAGTTGGTTCACCTGCGTCCTTTTGATTCTCTATGTGAAAGAGAGAGCACAACAAGGAGAGAAGAGAGAGAAACAAGAACACATATGCAGGATTAATGAGCAAGTGGACCAAAATGCCCCCCACTTATGTGTGATACATGACATTGGAAGAAAAGGTTGCCCTTGGGTTCCCACCGCCCCGAAGTATGGGGGCCAGCAAAAAAAGGCTCCTTCACAGAGGTGGAAAATGCTGCACAAATAGAAAATTAGTAAAATTAAGTTTAATGTGAAATCAAGCTATGAAACATACATGAACTCTCCAAGTGACAATTAAGTCATATGTTCTAGCCAAAGCTTAGAGGACAAAGACAAGTCAAAATCTCCAGAGAGAACAAGGGAAAGCTTCCCAGCTTGAGAGAGAACAGAGAGGAGGCATATAAGATCTAATTTTTACAGAGAATGGACTGCCTCGTGTGATCTTACACCCACAATAGTTTGACGTGTTAAACATGGAAAAGAAGGCGTGCTTTTGCCCCAGCTGTCCTTCATCCGACCCCTAACACATTGCTCCCAGCCTAGATGCTACCTTTTGATTGTGTACCAGTGACAAGCACTTTACAAATTGGGGTTACACACAAGCAAAGTAAAAATGCATTCAGGTCACAGACAGAATAACTGAAAAACTTACAGACAAATTTGAGTTTATCACAAACAAATGGCTTAATTGTCTAACCTGTTTTAGGTGGAAAAAAGTGACTGGACTTCTCACACTGGGTTTCACAGACAGAATCAACAGACAAGCCAATGCTAAACAACTTGAAGCAAGGAGAGTGAGTTGGTTTGGATCTGGATTTTCTTGAAATAATGAAAACAGAAAGAGTGAAGACAGCATGGCGAGGAGGTGGTAGGTACTCACGAATGGTTAAATCCATCACTTGGGAGGCCAAGCAGAAGACAGGATGCTCATACATTTCTCTCTTTTTCCCTATAAAAGAGGATTTGGGCATGCAAGAGGCTTAGGTCAGAGGTAAAGAGGTTAAGGTCATAGGTTAGAGGAAAACGTTACATTAGCTCAAAGGAAAATAGCCACAAAGTATTTTGGGATAAACACAGGATAAAAGAAAAAGGAGTTTCAAAATTGGAGATCTACTGGATTAACCATTCAGCATGCCGTGAGTCACGAGAGAGATTGTGACTATGATTTTACACGTCTCTTTAGAATTGTTTGCAAGAATACAATGACCAAAAACATCATGAGTAAAGGGAAACAGAATTTCATTGATTTAAGGCTCCAAGATACTAAGGATTTCAGACTTTAGTATCTAAGGCTCTTGAGGTATTTCTTCATAAACATAGTCTCCAACAATATTACTACAACTTCTTTCCAAAATTCTCCGGGAACTATGCTGTCAATGCTCACAGAGGGGCTCAAATGTAAAAATGGAAGGTTTCTTTTCTGAGTGTAGGATCGGAACCTTGTAAAAGAAAGTTGTCTGGTAGTAATATCTTTAAAGCTGCAATGTCTCAGCCTACGGTGGACTATGTTCATGAAAGAAAACCTGATACATGCAGCCAGAGGATGTTGGGTTGTCTGAATTAACAATCCCAGCATGCTTTGAAATTGGCGTCACAGCCACTTTTGCAGAGGTAATGTCAAAAAGTGGCTGAGCCAATCGCGAACAAGGAAGGAGAGAAGCAAAGAGAGCAGGTAGTGTGGAATGAGGTACTTCTCTGAAAAGAGAGTTGGAAAAAAAAGATTGGTTTCTTCAAAGAATCCCCAGACCTAAAAGTCACAGTGCAAAAGATAATTAACACAACCAAGAAGAATTGAGGCACAAAAGGAAATTACAGACCAGCTGATCTACTTTGGAAATGAATGCATTTTTACTTACAGATCTTAAAGTTTGTTTTTGGATATATTTATCTGAAAGAAGAGAGCAGATCTTACCAAGGCTAGTAATAGCTAGATCAAGACCTACGAGGCAGCAGCCATGGCAACTGAACGTTTCTTGATTCCATCCCATCTCTGGCCTTGCCTAGAATTCTTGGTGCCCGGTTGACATTACCAAATACAACCAATCATTGTGTCCTGGGAAGGTAAATGCTGGAACAATTATTCACTAATATAGCCCTCTTAACGATCTTCTCGTTCCTCTATTTTTGTCACTCATTACCAAGTCAAGAGTTGATAAACATCCTTTTAGTGCCCAATTCTTAAGTGTTTCTCCCTGGATGCATAACAATGAATTCATTACCACTGGTACACAATTTGCATTGTCAGACAGACAAAATTGAGAGAGGGAGACATGTAATGTACAGAACACTGTGAATTTGACATGATCTTAACCTGATTCTCTAGGGAAATAAGGACTTTGGTAGGGTAAGTGATGGGTTTTGGTGGTTGGGTAGGTCTTTTTTTTTTCCCCCCAGTCACATCCTGAAGGCAGACAATGGGCATTTTCTGGTGTTTCACATGTGAGAGAACATCAGATTCCAGGATGCGGACACATTGAGTTTTGCACACAGAACTTCCACATTTATACACTTACACCACTGGTCAAGTTGGGTGTGGTTTTCAAATCACCCTATAGCAGCCAACAGGGTAACAATGAAAAGTGATTAATACCTCTGCAAATGAATAGGTCCCAAAGAACCATATCTTTTCAAGTAGAGTTTACTCAGTGACTTTTGGGTGATTACTTCGTCATCAGTGACTGCTTCCCTGAAACTTGAGAAGGCAGTGGTAAAGACCATCCTAGGTCTAGTGTAACAAAAAGGCAGGAGCTTGACACAAACCAGGAGCCATCAGAGAGGGCTGGACATCACCTTGCCATCAAGTTTGAAATGCTACCACAGACAACTCTTTGCAAGTTCAAGGGGCAAGAAAGAATTCAGTAAAGTCTTGCTGTTGCTTTATTCAATTCTTGTTTTACTTATAATGCTATCAACACACTACTTAGTTTTCTTTTATTTAAAGAAGGTAGCAATCCTGCAGAACTCTTTTACAGGAAGACATAAGCCACAGAGCAAACTTAGGGCCGACTCAGGCTCTCAGGAGGACCTTAGTTATCTGGGAACATCCCACGTTTAATGTCCCTGCAAAGACTGATCTTTGGGCCTCTGTTCTTTCTTTCATTTATTTAGCTACATCCAAGGAAGATTTCACGTTTTCACATTTTGAGTGCTTTCTAGTTTCAGCCTAACATATTCAGATGGACCACCGTTTTCTGGTGCCCGTCAGAAAAGAGAGACTTCCCCAGGGAGGCATACAACGTTTTAAATGGAAAACTTGGGGCAGAAGGGCGCCTTACCTTCGATTTTGGCATACTCTGATAGCCGAGAATAGTTGACTAAAGCAGCCTGCTCTAGACATTTACGGATGACTGTTTTTACCTCCTCTTGTGGCACTGGAGTAACAATATCTTTCATCAAAACCTTAAGGTGGGAAAAAAAAGTGTTATTAAGATGGTTCAACTAATTGCGGTACTCATTTATCCTTCTTTTTTTATTTTGTTGTTTTTTTTTATCCTCACCCGAGGATATTTTTCCATTTTTTGTACAGATAGAGTGGGAGGGAGAGAGAGAGAGAAACATCGATGTGAAGGGACACATCGAGTGGCTGCCACCCACACGACCAACCAGGGCCGGGGACAAACTGCAACCGAAGTACGTGCCCTTAGCGGGAACCGAACCCGGGTCTCTCCGGACCGCAGGCCAATGCTCTAACCGCTGAGCCAAACTGGCCAGGGCTCATTTATCCTTCTTAAAGAATCCAAATGCACAGTTAGGATGGCAAAGCCTGTCCGTGAACCAGGGAAGGGCTAGGAGCATATCTTCAATAGATCCAACTATTTGGAGCTTGGAGGTACAACACCTGGATTTTGGGCAGTTTCCTCATGTTTATTCTGATATTTGAGGAATGATAAACAAAAATCACCAAAAAATGACAAATGACAAATTCATTCAACCACAGTATTTCACTACAACTATGGGCATGTCTCCCTGTGTATGTAATCTGTCTTCTGCTTTCATTCTTACCCTTTCCAGGAGCGAGAGGGTAGCTTTCAGTGCACCTTCGGGCCGACCAAATGGAAAACAATACCTAGAACAGAGAAAATTCTTCAGGTTGCCCAGTTTATTACATTTTAGCATGAAATATACTGACATTTGATGCCTATAGAAATTCTCCCTGAGGAACAGAAAATGTGTTTTATTTTGTCACGTTGTGTTATGTTAATCTGAATTCACACCATATATGTGTATATATAATGTATATATGTGTATGTGTGAATGATGACTAGAGACTCTGCAAACGTCTGCAGCAGAGAAGAATATTTAGAGTGATGACAAGGCTGTGTTTAGATTTCTATTGTAAAGGAGAACCATTTGCTCGCGCAAAGGAGACTTAAATATTGTAGAGACCAGCACTAACAAATATTAGTTGAAAAAGGGTAAAATTCAAACACACTTACTTAAATCGCTAAAGGGTTAATGTGGAGAATAAAGGAAAGTATTTTGAGCAAATCCACAATTCTGCAAATTGTCTTTCCTTGATTGTGATTTTAATTGTTATTGGATTTTTCATTATTGGCCATGCATCTTGTGTATAGTGAATGCCCAATAAAGATTTATCCAGGGGCGTTTACATGGCACAGACAGGACTGCGTCGGGTAACACGAGGAGTTCCATTGACTGTTTCAGGCTGTCACCAGCCCTTGGGGACACTGCTCCTCATGGTACAAAGGGACCAGCATGAACTACTTCCGGTCAGACTGGCCTGGGGCAAGTTCCTGAACCTTTCTCAGTCTCAGTTTACTTGTCATTTAAATGGGGCTTATAATAACTACCTTATGCAATTGTTCTGAGAATAAAATATGATGAGATGCTTGTCCAGCCCTGTATCTGGAAGTGTTGGATAAGAAGGACTGATTTAGTATGCCATTATAAGTGCTCTTATTGTTTTTGAGTTACTGGCTCAGGTTTCTGGTCCGGAACCACAGTGCAGCATTAGAAATATCTAATCTGTTCCAAGGAGTGGACCTGTGGCACAGGCTCACACGTGGACCCTGCCACCATCTCGAGGGTGTGGAGAAGAGTCAGCCTGCCAAGGCAGATCCAACTTTCCTTCTGTGAGTAGCCAGCTCATCCCGTTTCCGAGGAGAAGGTGGAGCGTCCCCTATGGGTACCACTGCCTTCCTTCCCTGATCATATGGTGTGGGTCACAAGATTCCCTGCTTTATTTAGGAAACTTGAAGAAGCTTCAAAGTCAATCATTTAATAGATTTAAAAAAATTGATGATCAGGGTCAACATGCACAAGGAGGGCTTTGTTCTTTTGGTGGAAATAAAATGAACTTAAGATTTCAGTCTCTGAGCTATTGTGGAACCCAGTGTTACTGGTTTGCTTTTCACTTAGTTATTTCTAAATATTCAATGTATATCTGATAACTTACAGTTTCAGAGAATCAAGCCCTCCCCAGTTTCACCCTCCTAATATGCCCTCAGCCCCCGATCCTTACCTAAAATGTGTAATCTGATTTTCCAACAGAACTCGGAGTCTCTCCTTGATTTCTTCGAAACGCTCCTTTTCTTCAACAGTCACAGTTCCAATCCCATCAGGCCTGAAGGGAGACATGTCATGAAGTGACGGCAAACTCATATGCTGACACCATCAAATCAAATCTCTAGCAGGAGGAAACTGTCCATTTTAGAAGAACAACGGCAATGATAGATGTAACCTTAGGAGAAGTCCTGCTTTTCAGGCTGGTTACTAAAGGGGGTGGGTTTTTTTTGGGGGGGTTATCATTTGAAGACATTTGCAAAATTGTCGCTCCTTTATTGTGAAATGATAAAATGTACAAAGTAGTGGCTTTTGGGTCTTTTCTTAAAAGTTTCAGCTACTTGCCAACATTTTTAAAATTAGGGAAGTTTTATAATACAGTTCTCTTGAAAATCTGAAACAACTGGCATTAATTGGTGAGTACAACTAACAGCTTCTTTCTTTCTGAGCTGGGGTAGGCACTCACCTGGTCATACCTCTAATTTGCATTACTTGTCTCTTATAGACGATTAGATTCATGTACACAAACACCTTTGAAAACTAGGTGCTTTATGATTATCTGCCTTTACTAATATTAATTGTTCTTAAGTGACTCAATATCTAGCTTAAATTATAGACGTTCGGATTAATTTGAGCTCATGTATTAATTGAAGAACAAACTACAAGACATTGATAAAAGAAATGGAAGAAAACAATACATACAAATGGAAAAATATCTCATGCTCATGGTCTGAAAGAATTAATATTGTTAAAATGTTCTTATTATCCAAAGCCATTTAGGGATGAAATGTAATCCCTATAAAATTGCAATGGCATTTTTTACAGAAAATAAAACAAACAAACAAAAAATCTTAAAATTTGTATGGAACTACAAAAGACCTAACTAGTCAAAGCAACCCTGAGAAAGAACAAAGTTGAAGGCATCACAAGTCCTGATTTCAAACTTTATTACAAAGCTATAATAATCAAAACAGTATGGTACTGGCATAAAAAACAAACACACAGAGCAATGAAACAGAATGGAGAACCCAGAAACAAACCCTCACAAATATGGTCAACTAATATTTGACAAAGAAGCCAAGAATGCTCAATGGGGAAAGGATAGTCTTTTCAATAAATGGTGTTGGAACAATTGAATATTCACCTGCAAAAGAATGAAATTGGACTCTTATCTTACACCACCCACATCACTGAACTTGAAGTGGATTAAAGACTTAAATGTAAGACATGAAACTGTAAAAATCCTAGAAGAAAACAGAGGAGAAAGTTCTTTGACGCTGGTCTTGGCAATGCAATATTTTGGGATCTGACACCACAAGCAACAAAAGCCAAAAATAGACAGGAGGAACTGTATCAAATGAAAAAGTTTCTGTACAGAAAAATAAAAAGGCAACCAATAGAATGAAAAAATACTTGTAAACCATCTATCTGAAAAGGAGTTAATATCCAAAATATATATATAAAAAAAACCCATAAAACTCTATAGCAAATAAAAAAAAATCCAATTTGATTAGATATTGGACAGAGAACTTGAATAGTTGTTTTTCCAAAGGAGACATACAAACGACTAAAGTACATAAAAAGATGCTCAACATCATTAACTATCAGGGACATACAATGCAAAATCACAACCAGATATCATCTAGCACTTGCTAGAATGGCTATTAATAAAAAGTGAAGTATAAAAGTGTTGGTGAGACTATGGAGAAAGGGAACGCTTGTGCACTGTTGGTGGGAATGTCATTTGGTGCAGCCACTACAGGAAACAGTGTAGAGGATCCTCAAAACATTAAAAACAGAGCGACATATGATCCAGCAATCCCACTTCCGGGTATATATCTGAAGGAAAGGAGCTTACTATCCTGAAAATATATCTGCACCCCCATGTTCATTGTAGCATTATTTACAACAGCCAAGACATGGAAACAATCTAAGTGTCTATCGACAGATCATACATATATATATATATATATATTTGACATATAAAACAAAGGATATATATAACAACAGATAAAGGAAATGTAAGATATATACGTGATGAAATACTCAGATGAGAGACTCTGCCTTTTGCAACAATATGAATGGATCATGAGGGAATTATGCTAAGTGAAATGTCAGACAGAAAAAGACAAATATTGTATGTTCTCACTTACATAAGGAATCTGTAAAAATCTAACTCATAGAAATAGAGTGTAGAATGGCAGTTGCCAGGGCCTGAGGGGTGGGGAAATGGCAGGTGTTGACCTAAAGGTACAAACTTGTAGCTTACAGTGATCAAGTTCTGGGGAGCTCGAGCACAGCATGAATACTCTAATGAATTATACTCTAATGAATTATACTGCATTTTATACTTTAAAGTTGTTAAAAGAGTAGGTACACAAAACAGTGGTAATTATGTAAGGGGATGTCGGTGCTAACAAATTTTATTGTGATAATCATTTCACAATAGATACATTTTTAAATCATAACATTGTATACCTTAAATCTACATTTGTCCATGTTATTTGTCTATATCTCAATAAAGCTTTAAAAAAAAAGGACAAACCACATATGATGTTTTCAATCTTAGCAAACTATTGCTCAATTCAATACAAAGGATCCTAGCACAAATAAATAAATTGCAGTTTCATCACAGTATTCCCATGTTTCTAAAACACTATTAGGTCCACACACATTTTCCCTATTTGATTTGGACCATTTAAGCTGGAAATACAAAGGGAGGCTGCATATTTATAGCCCAAATTTATCTGTGCCAAATTAGAGGGAGGATAATCTGACCCATGCAAAGACTTCAGCTTCCCAGATCCGTAGTGACTTGTTTTGACTACTGACTGAGCCAGTTTGCAGATTGGTGCGTCACCATGAAACTTCTATTGGAACATTCTTCAGTTTGCAAATGCAAGTCATCTTGAGACCAAACAAATGGTCTTATTTATAGGCCTTCTCAAGGATCCAGCATAAGTTGGGAAAATCCTGTATACTAGACCAGTCTGACTACACCAAAAACTTGGCAAATGATAGCAATGTACCTCCTGTTAGGGGTTACTTGGTCAGCTTCCCTTCTTTTAAAATACCAAAAATGCCCCACTTGAAAAAATGAGAAAAATTTCCCTCCCCCACTTTATAAAAAAACACAGCTAAATGGCACAATCCTGTCATGGTCCTTTTTTTTTTTATACTCCCCTGAACTTCAAGGAAGAAAAAAAAGGCAAAATGGTAAATGTCAGGTAAGCTGTTGGGATCTATAAATGTGCACTTATTTTCAAATTTTCTGGAGAAATTGCAAATGTCAATTAACAAAATTTATTTTAAAATTTTTAACATGAAATGTTTACAAATCTGTAGTTAAGTCTCCGAATGAATTCATTGGCCCCCACAAAATACATGTGATATTTTTGGTGGTAAAGTCTCATGTTTTGGTTAAAATCTACAACCTCCTTTACCTGTAGCTTTTGGAAATTTGTTTTCACAAAATTCAGCTTCCTAACACACTGGACACACGTTGACACAGTTGGCGTGTGGGTGTGCACGCTCGATTTCGGGAAAAAGGAACCATTTTTAAGCATTTTGTTTCCTAACATGGAATTAACCCAGAGAAAAAAATGTTATTAAATATAATTTACAAGTCACAGAGGGTTTAGGCACGAAAACTCTTTCACACGGCAGCCCAGGAATGTCTGCTGCCATTATTAAGAGAGAAACTTCTCGAAGAAAAAGCATTCATTCTGTAGCTAACAAGTCTCCTACCTCAACTGGGCAATTAGAAGGGACCTTTTAGGTTTGTGTTTGAGATGAAAAAGCTCAATATTTAGTGGCTGCCTGGCCTTCTCAGTTAATTCTCACTACAAAGGATATTCTTATACATTTGTAGTTATTGATGGTAGCACCTGGCCTCTTCCCCTTCCCTGACAACCTCTGCTTTTTGGACACTGTTAATCTCAGCATTCAAAGAAAGTAAGCAACCAAAATGTATTGCTGTAATCTTTTCTTAAATTTGCTTCTTAATTGCCTATGTCAGTGTGAACAGTTTTGTTTTAAAATAAATTAAACTAACTCTACATCTGTAAACCACGTGCTGCAGAGTTCATAAAACACACACAGACACCAAACAAAACCCCAAGCCCAGGTGATTAAAACAATCAGGGTTTTGAATGCAAATGTGTTTGCAATTGCCACATTGGCTATGAAATGGTAATGGTAATGGGATGTTATTTTACAAAATGAGGAAGAGACATGCAGGAATAATATAATTTGTTAAATGAAGATCACAGGTTGTAACTGTGTCAGTTAAAAAGCAAAAACATCCTTTTTAATTTCACATAATTATTTTTGAAATTTCTATCAAACATTAACTTGGTTTTAGTGGACCCTTAGTTTTCCTATGTTAACTGTACAGGTTTAGGAAGATTCCTACAGAGCTACTAACTGAAAACTCCTGGTTCAGTGTTTTGGGGAGCACTTCTCACAGAAGCCCTCAGAATTACCTGGAGGGCTTGGCCATGGCCCCGTTGTGGACCCCGCCCCAGAGTCCCCACTCTGCCACCTGGGGGTCTGAGCATCTGCATCTCCAGCGGGTTCTCTGAGCTACTGGTTGGGAACCCGCACTGGAGAACCTGGGCCCCAGAGCAAGAAAATACTCTTGGCTGACTTCCTGTAGCCAGAAGGGTATACATGATCCAGGGTTCCCAATTTCCCTTGGATGGAGGTGAATTTAAAATCAGAGATCATCTCCGCATACATGTCTACTTGGAAAGGTGACTTCCGAAAGTGGCACTTGCGCATTTCCAAGGTCGTCCCTGCTGTACTGGTTGAGAGTGACAGAACTCACCAGAGTCTCTCGGAAGCCATGCTCTGGCAGTTGTTTTTTTTTTTTGGAAACATTTGGAGCTGATCCTATAATTGTCTTGAAACTGGTTCTGTACCTTGTTCCTTTCTCAATACTTTTAACACTTAAGGGGTCACACAGATGGGAGGGGAGGGGAGACGGAGCTGGATTTTGAACTCTCAGCTAGTAAGTCCCAGGCCAAGGTGTGTCTTTACTCAGAACACACACTTGTTCTT